CAAAAGACTTGGAATCTTGGGAAATGCCGTCTGAAGAAAGGAAACTGTTACAATATGTGGATGATATCTTAATCGCCACCAAAACAGAGGACGATTGTATGGCCTGGACGGTGAGTCTACTAAATTTTTTGGGGCTCCAAGAGTACCGGGTATCTAAGAAGAAGGCCCAAGTAATGCAGCGCAAAGTGATTTATCTGGGCTATGAAATTAGTGCTAGGCAAAGAACTTTGGGACAGGCCTGCAAGGAGGCAATCTGCCAAACTCAGAGACCCCAAACAATGAAAGAGTTACGGCCTTTCTTGAGAATGACCAGGTGGTGTTGACTGTGGATCTATAATTATAGACTGCTTGTTAAACCACTATATGCACTAATAGCTATTGGACAGGAACACCTTAAGTGGAACAAGGAGACCACGCAAGCCTTCGAACTACTGAAAAAGGCTTTGATGTCAGCCCCAGCCTTAGGGCTCCCGGACATAAGTAGGCCATTTTTCCTTTTCTCCCATGAGAAGCAGGGGATTGCCCTGGGAATATTAGCACAAGATCTGGGCCCATATCGACGAGCAGTCGCCTACTTCTCCAAACAGTTAAATGCAACTGCAAAGGGTTGGCCTGGATGCCTGCGAGCGGTTGCAGTGGTAATATTAAACATACAAGAGGCCTGAAAATTTACTCTGGGCCAGAAAATGACTGTCTTGGTGTCCCATACAGTATCCGCAGTGCTGGAAGCAAAGGGTGGACACTGGCTCTCTCCACAAAGATTCCTGAGGTATCAGGCTATACTAGTAGAACAAGATGATGTGGAAATCGTAGTTACTAACATTGTCAACCCAGCTTCTTTCCTCAGTGGAAACTCAGGAGAACCAGTGCATCATGACTGCTTGGAGACCATTGAAGCAACATATGCAAGTTGCCCAGATCTGAGAGATAGCCCCATGGAAAAAGGGGAAAACTGGTTTACAGATGGGAGCAGCTATGTCTTAAGTGAGAAAACTCTGAAACCGCAGTGGGAAGGACCATATCAGGTACTCCTCACCTCTTTTACAGCAGTGAAAGTTAAGGAACAGAACGCATGGATCCATCATACCAGAGTGAAGAAAGCTCCTAAATCTCTATGGAGAGTCACACAAGTACAACCTCAAAAACTTTTATTGTCACGGTGATAATTATCACCTTGGCAAATGAAGTAGGAGCACGGGAAGGTAACACCTTTTTACAACTCCATGATCACCTTGCTAATATTATGAACTGGACCAAGTGTTGGGTGTGTTCACACCTGCCAAGAAGTTTGGGAAGTGGACATCCCGTGATCGCCGTGGTCTTTCCAAACAGCACTAGTATAGTGGAGGGTCTCAGCAGCATAACTCTTCAACAGTACACTAGCATAACGCAAGAAAGTTTAACCTGAAGGGTCGACCTGAGTTTACTATGGAATGAAACCCAAGGGGTACCTTGTGTTCAGAGATGTTTCTTAAAAAAACATGGCCAACCATTCAAATTCTGGGGGAAATAATACAGATCCACGGTGTGGAACACCAAGATTTGTTGGGAACTACTTTAATTGCACCAGTTATATTAAATACGGAGGTGCAAATATGTGGACAACTAACCAGACCCGCAGGGGAAAGGGGACTACCCCCTGTGGTTGGCCCACCATGAGGGGATTGGGATGGTACTGGATCTGTGGACATATGGGATACAAAGTATTACCATTAGGATGGGTTGGTCAGTGTGCTATGGGAACCATAATACCAAACATTACCGTTAAGCAAAATCTAATTGAACTAATCAGTTCTGAAGGACTCTTGCGTACCTATATGAGACCTCTTAAGAGAAATAGACGCCAGACAAACATATTGATATTGAGGCCTACCGGGCTCCACAGTTTTGTACGATGGCTTCTTCCATGGTTAGGGGTAGCGAATTAGAAAAAGCTTTAGTGAATATCTTTGCAGCTGTAGAGGTTTTAGGAAACGCCACAAAAGATGCAATCGAGGCTCTCCAAAAGGAGACTACCTCTTTGAGTGAAATGGCCCTACAGAACAGATTAGGATTAGATATGCTATTTGCCCAGCAAGGGGGATTATGTACCGTCATAGGGGAACAGTGTTGTATGTATATAAACCAGAATAAAAGGATAGAGAAGGACCTGTCTCTAATCTGGAAACAAACTAAACTTTTCCACGAGATAATTAAGGATAACACAGCTTGGGGTTTTTCAGGTCTGTGGGAAAAATTAACTTCCTGGTTACCAAACCTGAAATGGCTAAAACAATTATTTCTTACAGCAGTTATAATTGTCTTTATACCCATAACTCTCTGTGTAACTGTACGATGTAGCTCATGGTGTTTTCAGAGTACAGGGGCTTCCTACAGCGAATGGAAGAAGAACCAGCTACGCCAGAAAATTGAATCTAACAAATATTTTGAGAAAATGCTAGGTAAAGAAATAATTGACGCAGGAAGATTTGTGGCTCCTTACAAAGGACAGTTTTTGATAAGAACCAGGAGTTTACCTTAAGAACTGGTTTACACCGACCCCGCAGTTTGGGCAAGAGCCAAGGAGCAACTGAGTCTGCGCAAGAACAAGGGGTTACTAGCGGTGACGAAGAGGAGCCATCGGCCTTCATCCCCACGACCTCCGACAACCACCACCAGGAGCCACTGAGCAGGTGCAGTGGGGAGGGACTTATGGAAATGACCTCCTGAAGCTAATTTTAATACAAAGCGGAGACAGGTTATGCATATGTATAGGCACATCAGAAAACCTCATACATATGTAATACTTTGCTACATATAAACGGACAAGTTGCCGCTTGATGGTATGCACGTTAGGGGGAGCGATCCCCTGTGCATCTGGCACCGTGAATAAAGAATGCCTGCCTTCTAACACTACATTAGTGTTACGAGGTTCGTTCTTCCCGATTTCGGTGACAAAACTATACAGACAACCCTGAAAAAGTATTTATCACAGGGGAAATCTAATTTCTTAGGAACAGATAATGAAACAGAGTTGATGCTAAGACAGGAATAACCAGATGAATTAATACAGCACCACATATTTGATCTTGTACTGTGCAGTAGTATACCCCTGATAGCTCACGATATCTTTCCAGTACACACTGTACTGTCTCTTTGCTTGTCTTCTTTTCTTTCATTATATGTCTACCAGATAGAAGCACACTCTGTGCTTTCATTAGGTCAGTAAAAACAAAAATTAAAACAAAAAACACACTGAAGGGCTGTGAGGAAGAAAAAATGTGTCAACCCTCACAATTTCAATCCTACCGTACTGGGAGGAGCTATGCTGAACTAGTTTTCACTTCATCTTATTTGGCATGCAAAGTACTCGAGACAAGTTCCTTAAGCCATCAAGCAGCACGGAGAAATGTCAGGCAACACAGTCAATAAAAGGGCTGTTGGTCTAAGTGATAAATCAGTGAGGAATTTTGCTCTGCTCTCCAAGCACATATGGCACCTCAGTGTTGGTCACCAGGTTGAAAATTCCTAAGTAACTGTTTGAAGTTGAAAAGCACATGAGAGGAATAAGTGAAAAATAATTAAAAAGGGCAACTGCAGCTGTCAGCTTTTTTGTCTCCACATTTCCTGAATACCCACTGGTCCTTCCCAGGGGAAGCTAAGAATTATACTGCCTCACCAGCAAGAAAACTGAATTACAAAGCACTAACATTAGCAGCACAGAGCTAAAATCTACAGTGATTTCTTTTTCATTAACTATTTTGTGGTTGTTTATCAGATACATTCACACTCTTTGACTGTAGCATTTTTCTCCACGGGCTTATTCAGAACGATACTTTGCATGCCTTTGCTGTCAGCCCATCATGAAGTCTCATGTCCAACACAAGCAGATTTGCACAGAAAATTTTCTGAGAGGCACGTATGTAATGTCTCGGGTGATTCTTAGAACAATGTCTACCCAGTGACTATGATTGCAAACACCAAAAAAAAAAAAAATCTCTTTAGTCAGGAGAAAAGGAGCAAAATTAGGTAAATGAAAAGCCCTCCTTCACTCCCAAACACATCAAAACCACAAAATAAAAAACCCACACTGATTCTTCAGTAGCAATCAGGGATCACCAATTTTCTTTTAAATCAGTATCTCTACACCAGAGTGCAGTGAACAACTGCAGAAAAGTATTTTATATTTATGTGCTCTATACCAAATGCTCTCTCAAAATTTTAGCAAAGACTTTAACATTGATCAATGCTCCAGAAAGTAAGAGAAAGTTCCATCCATCCGTTCTGCTCAGCACTACTTTTCATTACTTTTTCAAGCATGTCAGCCTAACAAGGCAGTGAATCAGCCTCAGGCATTTCTCAGCCTTAGACCTGTACTGTATGAAAAAGAGGAAGGTAAAGACTTTCATTTACCTCACATACCAGACAGCTTTACAGAGGTTTAACTGCTTGTTTTAAATGATGAATCGGGCCAATTTCATCCATTGACTGAGTCCCAAGAAGTCTATGCTAGAGATAAACTGGGCCTATTCAAGACAGAGTAGTAATTAGATAATACAGCAGTTTATTACAGGCTGGTCACATCATCATCAGGGGTCATTTAATCTCAATTTAGATTCTCATTAGACATCCTCTGCCATCCTGTACTTCTCACCTCCCTCTCATTGCGTCTCCTCTGTATTTGCTTGCATGTATGTTGGCAGACATCCTCTTTTGAGCTAGCTGGACTAGCCAAAAAATGCTACTGTTCCTGTTGCTTAATACAATCCACCATCTTGTATACTGGTATTAAGACTGTAAGAGTGTCCTGCAATCCCTTTGAAGCAAAGCTGTACAGACAAGGTCACTTTTATTATCTGCTTCAAGTGGGCAGTATTTCACTTACTCTGTAACAAATCAGACCTGTGCAATGGAAATCAGACACTTTTATTAAACTAAGCACTTTAGCATGACCATTGACCTTGATACTGTGAAAAGTTTTTGTATTGCATCCACCTCATTCATTTCTTCCCTGATCTGTTTTAGGGACAGGCTGTTAATATAATATTTGTTCACAGTTTGAGGATTCAGATCAGACTATTCTCTAAGACTCCTATATATCTCATCCATACACTAAGCACTTGGGGCCTTATTATCTTAAAAAAATGCCTGGATAATTAACATCTGGATAATGCCCAAAAAGGGAGGTTTCAATGTTGCTACATGTCTGGTTTTCCCCACTACATATGCAACACTAGATCCTGTGGAAGAAGGAAGAGTCTGCAGCCTTTCAGAGACCAAATGGATGTGTTCAGCTGGGAATCACATAGGTTGGATGCCATGCCAAAACCACATCAGCATTCAAACTAGTGCTCCCTAAATCCATTTCCATAGTGCAGACTTTCAAGAGAAGAGAGATGAGACCAGCTGTTGCTTTTGACTTTCAATACTAATTTCTTTTTTTTGTCTGGCATCTTTCTTATGTATCCAGGGGATGGGAGGCCCAGAATGGCCTATATCCAACGTACCTGCCATAGTAACATCAATACGATTTTTTCTTTGGGAAACCACTGTGATGTAAACTAATATGGCTTAACAGTAAAGAAGAAGGTTTTGAGCTGCATTCTGAGGCAGCATTTGACCAGTGACTGCAGATGGCCTACAGTAGTCTTCTTTATTGTTTTTGTGACTCCAGAAGGAAGGTTTGATATAACTGGGTAGGAAAGTTAGTTTCTGACAGTATATTAGATTTTGCCTAAATATTAGTATTTTTCAATAGAACTGCAACTCCTTTTAGTGGCATGACCTTGAATAGAGGCTTATAGGAGCTATAGCTCCAGCAGATACGTACAAGACAAACTTAAATTCTAGTTTGCTAAATCTATCAGTTGAACACTTGCCCAAAGAATTCACCCGTGCTCCTATACATATGAAATGCTAGCACTTGCTGATGGTTACACAGCTTACAGAAAACCCTCAGGTAGTGGTGTCTGTTTCTAATGGGACAAGCAGCTGCTGCACGAAGC